TATGCCCATACAGCATATTGATCAAATATGGAAATTTTCCAAATGAAATTCGAATTAAAAAAAAAAAAATTCCATGTACTAAGAGGCTTTAGTGAAATCATAAACTCTGTAAATGGCTTAGCGCTTGTTTCTGAGGGACCAGTCACCGACGATCCATAAACTTACAGGTGCCTCGAACAGAGTGCATGATACATTTGATTTATATCCTTCATGAAGAAATGAAAAACTAAAAATGTAAACTATAAAGAAATACATCAAAAATCGTTTATCAATTCACACCTTTGCCTAAAAAGAAGAGTAACTGTGTTTTTGTATGATTGAACGAATGGATCAATGTGAAAGAATTGATTTTTCATCGCTATATAATTAAATATTTCACCTTTGAACATACCTGCTTCGTATCCATCACGAATGAACATTTAATTGGTATTTTAAATGTTCGTTTCGATTAATTACCTCCCTATTTATTTCGCCCCGTTTAATACTGATGAAATCTTCAATTTTTCTTAATCAAAGCCCAATATTATATTCATATTTTCTTTATGCAAGAGAGAGAGAGACAGACAGAAAGAGAGAGAGAGAGGGAATATATAAACTAACAATTCTCGTGTACAACCATGAATTGCATCCTTCTCAATATGATTCAATTCGTTGCCAATATTCAGATTCTGAATATGGTAAATCCACTTAATACATAAACGCTTTTAACCGCATACATCGTTCCAACCATATACCATATGCCCATACAGCATATTGATCAAATATGGAAATTTGAATTAAAAAAAAAAATCATGCACTAAGAGGCTTATGTAAATCATAAACTCTGTGGATGGCTTAGCACCAGTTTCTGAGGGACCAGTCACCGACGATTCATAATTTTACAGGTGCCTCGAACAGAGTGCATGGTACATTTGATTTATATCCTTCATGAGGAAATGAAAAACTAAAACTGTAAAATATAAAGAAATACATCAGAAATCGTTTATCAATTCACACCTTGTTTGTAAAAAATACACACAAATCCCCTCCCCCACAAATATTAAGATAATAATAAGACAATAATAAGACAATTAAGATACAAAATAGTGCAAATATGTATTTCATAAAACTAAATACAATTCTACTTATAACCTCGCCAATACAATGTATAAAAGTAATAGCTAACATATATTTTATATATTTATGTATATGAATGAACACAGATTTCTTATTAAATTTCCTATAGAATTGACACAGAATACTTGTGAGAAAAAAAAATCATATAATCATGTAGTCGTTACAAAAAGGAGAAGAAACTAAATCGTTACTGAAATGACAATTAAAAGAAAGAAATACAATGAGACGATAGATATATGGTTCCCCTCTCTCTTCTAACTTGTCTCACACACTCCCCTACTCCCAGCCTCCCCCCGCCACATTAAAAACAATCTGATACATATCCACAAACACACTTTAATTTGAACATAGTGTTCAACAACATGCTGGTGGATAAAACTTTCTAGTTATTAACTGGCATCTTAAATGTTCGTTTTGAAAAATTACCTACCTTTTATTTCTCCCTGTTTAATACTGATGAAATGTTCAATTTGTCTTAATCAAAGCCCAATGTTATATTCATATTTTCTTTATGCAAGAGAGAGAGGGAGAGAGAATATATTAACTAACAATTCTCGTGTACAACCATGAATTGCATCCTTCTCAATATGATTCAATTCGCTGCCAATATTCAGATTCTGAATATGGTAAATCCACTTAATACACCAACGCTGTTAACCGCATACATCGTTCCTATCATATAACAATATGGCCATACAGCATATTGATCAAATATGGACATTTTCAAAATGAAATTCGAATTTTAATTAAAGATGAATCATAAACTCTGTGTATAGCTTAGCACTAGTTTCTGATGACCAGTCACCGACGATCCAGAATTTTGCAGGTGCCTCGAACAGAGTGCATGGTACATTCGATTTATATCGTTTTTTTGTATACTTTTTCTTTAACAAACAAAATCGAATAAATTAATTGCATAATTAAAATACAAAATAGTGCAAAATGATATTACATAAAACTAAATACAATCATGCTTATAACCTCAGTAAAACAATGTATGAAAGTAATAGCTAACATATTTTTGGTATATGTGTATGAACACTGATTTCTTATTACATTTCCTACAGAATCAACTCTGACACACAATACATGTGAGAAAAAAGATAAATCATACAATAATGTAGTCATTAAAAAATGAAAAGAAACTAAATCGTTACTGTAATGCCAATTTAAGAAAAAGAATAAAATAAGGCGAAAGTAAATGGTTTCCCTCCCTGTTATAGCTTGTCTCACACACTCCCCTACTCCCAACACCCACAATAAAAACTAACTTATATCCACAGACACACTTTAACTTAAAAATAGTGTTGAACAACATGCTGGTGGATAAAACTTTCTAAAATTGTAATAAATATGACCTCAAACCACATTGTTTGATCATGTTTTATTCAAACTTTGAATCATCGTCAATGTCATCATTCTGGCATCTCTCTTTTTTTAAAGCCTTCTTGTCTGTGTATGTACATGTAGCCCCTGTTTGGTGCAACATTAATATTATACATAAAGTTATACGCATTTTATCACATGTTTGTAATATTACATGTGAGTCCATGAATTTTATAACTTTGCCCTTTTCACCTTATTGAACATTCCACATGCCCAGTGCAGTGAGGAAATACATAGTACCTATATATGCCCATAGTCTATGCATACGAGCACACACGTGTGCCTTGTATGTGGTATACCAACTGTTCCTGGAACCAGGGGAGAACATCGCCGTCCCCCTGAAACATGAGTCATGAGTCATGTGTGGTCAAGATTGACCATGGTTGGGTCACTCCATTCTTTTAGCCTAGGGGTGTTATGGCCTATGAATTAATGTTCATAAATACATATTGTATTAATTATGATTGTTTATTGATTGTTTATCTTTCTCCACTTGGGAAAGTTATTTATATGATTATACAATGTGTCATCTGTATCAATGTTGTATGATGTAATTGTTAAATGCTTATCCTGAACATGTATTAATGAAAGTACTTGAAGCTTTTTACCTCTAAGTTGGGAGATGGCATAACCCATCTCAAAGTCAGCCATCTTCTCCTCATCATCAGCCTCTTTTGTCTCCAACCTCCATTGGGACAACACCATATTAATTGTCGCTGACAATATTTAATATTTCTTCTCTTTAGGTAAGCACATTATTACACTTTTTGAATATCTTACTCAATTATAACCAACTGTTGGCATTATGTATTTCTCAAGAGTGGATGGTTATGCAGTTGTGAGATTTAAATGGATTTTGTGTGAAATTGTTGTAGAGATGGGAGAAAGTGATATCACATGCTGTTAAACCATGTGATGCTATTGAATCATTCTTTGAACTTGTAAACTTATTACAGTTATTCCTGATTATTACTAACCGATGAAAATATACAATGACAATGATACTCTCTGTTATTCTGGCTGCGCGCGTGAAGCATAATTCTATACCAAATTGCGATGGGAATTTACTTGGCGCAATATCACAACGAGAGCTTTCTAGTTCATAAAAGCCTCCTTAAACAGAGAGTACTATCGTCATCATATATGTTACATGTTTTTCTGTAAATATTATTTACTAACCATTTCAGTTTTGATGTATTGGCATGAGGATAATAATAATGATAGTAATTAATTTAGAGAATAATAGTAAAGATATTATTCGTGCTCTTTTGTCTCCAACCTCCATTGGGACAACACCATATTAATTGTCGCTGACAATATTTAATATTTCTTCTCTTTAGACAACGTCACAATGAAGGTCGTCGCCTCAGCACTGACCATTTCAGAACCCTCATGTCCAATTGATATACTTTAGGATGTAAATGTAGTAGTGATAAGTTATGTATGACCTTGTAGGATTAGTATAGATAGTTATAGTTCAGTTAAATGTTATTGTTTTTGTTAAACTTCTATGACTTTATAGAAGTGCATGAAGATAAGTTGTAAATAATAAAGGGAAAAGACATCCCAATATATACTCACATAAATAATGAGTAGTAGTTTAGATTTTCAGACTCTTGTGTGTAGTGATCGAATGAGAGTGATTGCTTTGATTGTGTAACTGTATGTTCGGTGATATGTTCTCGGTGTTTGTGGTATGATTGATTGTTTGTTTATGTGATGTACTTGGTGTGCGTAATGTTTGTGTGAATCCTGTGGTAACCGGCATAAAAGGGGGGATTATTTGCATGGGTACTAATTAAAGAAAAGTTCCCCGATATGCAATTTTGTATAAGACTTCCGCTGCTATTATGAGTAACTGTGTGATTATTATATGATCCTCACCCCACCCCAAAAATGTCGGTGCTACAATTGGTAGCAGAGCGAGGTTGTTTGTTTTTATAATATATTTTTTTATTTTATTGTTTTTCACTTTTGGTTGTCTCAATTCGTATTTTTAGTTTGGTTACACGTTTTTGCCTGATCGTATGACATACAACTTTAATATTTACTGTAATAAGCGACATACTAAATGACTTACCAACCTAACGCAACGACATGACCTTGACCCCTTGTTTTGACTGATAGACTGGTATGAGAATTGTGAACTGATACTTTTATGGTATTTAAGTTTACTGCTAAATTGATTGATGCAACTGGTTATAAGGCTATCTAAGGTATAGTAGTCTCAATTGCCAGGTTTTTGGTTTTGAGTTTGTTTTTGTTTTGTTTTCTTTGCTAGTATATATGATATTACTTCGATCATATTTGGCAAGTTGTTGTTGTTGTCTGCTTCTGTTTTCTTAGGTGCCGGAACCTATTTGTTGTTTACCTCTTATATTTCTTGGTCGCAACAGCTCTCTCTCAGCGTGTTACCTGCATTTGTTTTCTATTTGGTATATATTGTTTGTACCATTACTTTGTTTTTTATTTGGTATAAGGATTTGATTAATTGTAACATGTCTCTCGAGGACAGCACTTCCCTTGTCCCTGATGAGGAAAAACTACTTTCTAGTGCTGACCCTGACACCTTAAGTAAGTTTTTGACAGAGTCTGGACTTACCCTTTCCCAACTCGAAAAATTGGTGAAAGGGTGTTCAATAGGTAACCCTCCCCCTGTCCACACCCCTGTCCCTTCCCCCAGCTCCCCTTCCCCGCCACCTGCCCATAGTCATGGCATAGTTAATGCTCCACGTCTCCCCCGTCTTGGCCTCTTCTCAGGAAAAGAGCCAGTAAAACAAGGCGAGGTAGACTGGGAGACATTTAAAGATGTCGCAATTGAGGTTGCGTCAATGGCCTCAATTGACGAGCAGACAAAAAGGCGCGAGATCGTGACTAGGCTTTGTGGACCTGCTAAGGACTTTGCTAGGCAAGTTTCCCCAAGCTCCACTGCCCATGGACTCGTATCTTTTTTAGACAATGTTTATGGCGCAGTGGAGAACAAGTCCCTTCTCCTTAGCGAGTTCATGTCCATGTCCCAGGAAAAAGGGGAAAAACCCTCAGACTTCCTTAAGAGGACTCAACTAAAAATCAACAAGTTGGTGGAGATAGGAGAGTTTTTACCAGACTCGGCAGACCAGAAACTTTTAGATAGGTTTAGGATGGGATGCCAGGATGAGTACATCCTCTCTGTGACCAATCTCCATCAACAAATTGTTGCGCCCCCATTCCACAGATTGATTAGCCTCATCCGAGAAGCAGAAGCCACTCGTGATGCAAAATATACCCAAAAGCGCACTGTTAAAAGCTATCCTCAGCAGCTTGGCGCGCCCAACCCATACCACCCTTACCCATCCCCACCCCCACCACCACCAACACTGCCACCACCTCCTCCTACCCCAATGATGTATCAAGGGAACCCCCAAAAGAAAAACAGACCCCCTCAAAATAGGCAAGGCCCCCTTAAACCCGTAAACTCGTTCGATAGGGATTGTCCAGTTAGGGTGCTGGTTTGCTACAATTGTGGCGAATTCAACCATTTTGAGAGGGAGTGTAAAAACCGCCCAAATGAGGAATTGAAGAAAAAGAATTTGGCCCGCAGAAAAGAAATTCTCGCAGCCTGGGAGGCCATGACAATAGAGAGTGCCCCCTCCTTCCCCCAATCCCCACTCACCCCCTCCCAAACTCCCAACCACCCAAACATGTAAGGACCTCCGTTAGCGGGCGAACGAGAGGCCGAAATAAAAAGCGCCCTAAAGTAGTGCCCCAACAACACCATAATTCCCCATCTAAGTTAGAAGTAGAAATTCCCCCTGGGTTGATAGGAGAGTCTTGTGAGACCAACTGTACCCTTGGCAGTAATAATGTTAAAACCACCTGCCTAATAGATAGTGGCAGTGTAGTCACCACCATCCAAAAACATTTCTATGACTCCCACCTGAGTAGTTTGTACCCATTACAGCACCTGGCTAATTCGTCACTGCGTATTGAAGGTGCGAATGGGCAGTCAGTGTTGTATGAAGGGTACATATCCATCCCCATTTGCCTCCCTGAAGAGATAGTAGGGATAGACTCCCCAGTAAATGTTCTTGCAATAATCGTTACTTGTCGCGTCTCTTGCCCCTCCCCAGTTATTGTAGGAACTAATGTTTTTCGTAGCCTTGCAACTGCCTGCAGGGCACATTTAGGCCCCAAATTTCTATCATTACTTGACATCCCCACGTCAATATATGCTTGCTATCAGAAGGCTGCATATGAGGTGAGGATGGGAGATCCTACCACAGGAAAGGTAGGACAAGTTCGTTGTCGACTGCGACGCCCCCTCACAATCGAGCCTGACCAGGCTCTACAGGTGGTTGGAACCCTGTACAGCTCCCTGCCCCCTGGTAAGCACAATGTTCTGGTGCAAGAGGTGGAGAATCCTCATCGCAACCAAGACATTCATGTTGTAAATGCTATCCAGGAAGTGTTTGGCAGGAGAGCCAAAGTGAAGGTGAGTATCAGTAACAACACAAATGTCCCCATTACTGTCCACAATAGACAAGTAATAGCAGAGGCATTTACCTACATGTGGGATAGACCTCTCGCTCAAGTATGCGCTAATGTGACTGGACTAATGACTAAAGACCATGACTTTGACTCTGTAGGATTGACTGTACCATGTTACTTTACTTCCTCCCCTCAGAAAGTAGATGACGATGACGACTCGTTAGGTAACTACGACATTGCTAGTGACACTTCCCAAGTCATTGCTGACTCATTAACGAAACAATTAGATCAGATTGACGGGCTATTTGCTAAGGACGATAATGACTACGGCTGTGCTAAGGGCGTGGAGCACGTAATAAAGCTGACTGACAAGACCCCGTGGAATGCTCGTGCACGCCCTATTCCTCAAAACATGTACGAAGAAGCTAGACAGCTTTTTCAGGGCCTCCTGGACGCAGAGTTGATAAGGCCCTCTACCAGTGCATACAGCTCACCCGTATGTTTGGTGCGCAAGAAATCTGGGAAACTAAGGATGACGGTAGATTACCGTCAACCAAACAGACGGGTTACCCCAGACGCATACAGCATACCTAAGGTAGAGGATCTATTCAACTCACTCCACGGGTCCAAGTTCTTCACGGTTGTGGATCTGAAAGGCGCATTCTTTCAGATTCCACTTCGTGAAGAAGATAGACAATTCAGTGCGTTCAATACCCCATTTGGATTATATGAATTCACTCGTATGCCACAAGGCCTGAAGTCCAGCCCCGCCCAAATGCAAAGGGTTGTGGAAAGGTGCCTAGGTGATTGCTCCTTGCGAGAAGCAATTGCCTACATAGATGACATTGTCATACACGCACCGACCATGCAAGGGTGCATTGAACGTACTCTCAAAGTTCTTACGAGGGTCCGAGACTTTGGCCTCAAACTTGAAAAGAAGAAATGCCATTTCCTTTACCAGACAGTTTCACATCTTGGGCATGAGATAAGTGGTAAAGGGATTCGACCATGCCCATCCAAGATCGAGGATGTTCTTGAATGGCATCGACCAAACAACGTCCAGCAGCTCAGACAGTGGTTAGGATTTTGCGGTTATTATCGCAGGTTCTGCAAAGACTTCAGCAAGATATGCCGACCACTGAATGATCTGCTGGTAGGTTTGTCGATGCCTAGGAGATCATCCAGCACACCAGCTGACCGCTCTAAGGTAAGGAGAGCCCAGCTTGAGCCCTTTCGGGAAAAGTGGACCGACAGGTGTGAGGATGCTTTCCTCGCACTGAAGAAGCTGCTTACAACTGCACCAGTCCTAGGCTTTGCCGATCTGTCGAAACCTTTTGAACTGCATTGCGATGCTTCTGGGTTTGGTCTTGGGGCTGTCCTCTACCAGGAGCAGGATGACATTAAACGAGTAATTACTTACGCTTCACGTGGTCTCAGCCAGACTGAACGAAATTACTGCGCTTGGAAACGTGAGTTCTTATGTCTCAAGTGGGCAGTTACTGAAAAGTTTGCTGACTACCTCTATGGTGAGAAGTTCATCGTCATAACTGACAATAATCCCCTAACCTATGTCATGACCAATGCCAAGCTTGACGCTACTGGCCAGAGGTGGGTAGCAAACTTGTCTGTGTTTGATTTTGAAATTAGGTACTGCCCAGGAAAGAACTTGAATGATGCCGACTCTCTCAGCAGAAGGCCGGGCCTAGTACCAGATGACAACCAGATCCAGGAAGAGGTAAGTACTCAAGTAGAGTTCCTAAAGTCTAGAGTCCAGCAGATGGATACCGCTGAGGTATCAGCGTTATTCCAAGGGTATGTACAGCCAGCCAACGAGACAGGTGAGATACAAGGTAAGCATACCCTTAAATACCCCTCCCAGTCTCCACCAGTTGTAATTGCAACAAGCCTTGCAATGCAACCCTCGTCCATACCAGACCCTTACACAAATAGTCTACAAGGTAACACCTCTCTCCCAGGTCTTAGTGACACTGATTGGCACCAACTCCAGATGGATGACCCAGACATTGGTAAGGTAAGGACATTCATTGAATCAGGTTCCCACCCTTCCCCTAAAGATAGGAAACAAGCGTCCACACACCTGCGTGTGTTGTTCCGGGAAATGAAAAGGTTTGTTCTACATAAGAGTGTCTTATACCGGCAAACTAAAGACCCTTTGTCTGGTGAGGTAAGGCTCCAATTAGTAATCCCGCATAGCTTCATTGGCCAAGCTATGCGTGGAATCCATGATGACTGTGGCCATTTGGGCTTTGACAAGTGTGCCTCTCTTGCGAAAACACGGTTCTACTTTCCGTTTATGGCGTCGACCATTAAGAAATGGATTGACCAGTGTGACAGGTGCATAAAGCGGAAAAGGAAACAGGAACGGGAAGAAATGGGCACCATCGTGACTACTCAGCCATTGGAACTTTTATGTTTGGATTATCTAAGCATAGAACCTGACAATGGAGGGGTAGAAAATGTTCTAGTCATGACAGACCATTTTAGTAAGTACTCTGTAGCAGTCCCAACCAAAGACCAGCGTAGTTCCACAGTGGCGAAAGCCCTGTGGGAGAACTTTATTGTTCACTATGGCTGGCCAGCCAAGATCTTAACCGACCAAGCACAGGACTTTAATTCTAAGTTGATTAAGGAATTATGTAGCATGGCCGGAGTAGAGAAAGTCCGCACTACCCCATACCATCCCCAAGCTAACCCCGTAGAACGGTTTAACCGTGTCCTGCTAGACATGTTAGGATGTCTTTCCGATAAGGGTAAATCCGAATGGAGAAAACATGTCAGCCCCCTTGTACATGCTTACAATGTTTGCGAGCATGATACAACACACTTTTCTCCATACTTCTTGATGTTCGGCAGGAATGCTCGCTTGCCCATTGATCTTGCCTTTGGCATTGACCCCCAGTGGTCGTCGGAGAAGGACAAGACAATATATGTCAAGAATCTCCGGGAACAGCTTAAGGAAGCGTATGATATAGCGTCAAGAAACATGGCTAAACGTAGTAGTGCAAACAAAAAGCAGTATGACCTTAAAGCTAAGGCCCCTGTTTTGGAGGTAGGTGACCATGTTCTGGTAAAGAACGTACACTTGCGCGGAAAGCACAAGCTAGCGAACAGGTGGGGTGACAATGTATATGTCATTCTACATAAGATAGGTGAATCCCCTGTCTACCGCGTGCAAAAGGAAGGAAGCACGGATACCCCTAGAGTCCTCCATCGTAACCTCCTCCTCCCATATGACGGACCTGACAATGACAGACCGAATGACACTGACTTGCCAACCACCAAGCCTCCGGTTACTAGGCAAAGACAAGCGACCCCACGTAGTAGAAATACTGCTAACACAGTAATTAATGAGGAAGAAGATGAAGACAACGATGGGGACATCTTCATCATACCAAATGAGTCTGTCCCTATTGAACCTACTCCAGACCCTAACCCCTCACTTGACGAAAATGACATTAACCTACCAGATCAAAGGACCGATTTGGCTATTGACATAAATCACCATGACGATAACCATGACGACAGGCATGAACATGTAAGGAATGTGAATGATATCACTCAAAATAATAACTTTGATAATCCTGATAATGCTGTCGAAGAGGATAATAATCAGACGGTTGCGCAAAGCGACGCAGTTGATAATGGTGTGAATGTGGATGTTGAGGTGGATGTGCATGATTCTAGTGATGGTGATCGTGCGGATGCCGGAGTCGATGAAAATGTAAAAGTAAGAAAATCTACCAGGAATACTAAAGGTGTAGGACCTAGTAGGCTTACGTATGATCAACCTGGAAAACAATACGATGTGGATTTTAAGTTGGCTCTCGCTCAACAAATGCGAGCATTTTTGAATGATTTGTTGTAAAGTAATCATATTTGTTCATGTTAATATAGGATAGTACAATGGATACTATTACGTCGGTTTTCTGAGATATGTTTGTTTTCTGTATTTAATAATTGTAGATTCCTTTTTATCTAATACGCTAATGCTAATGTTAGGGCATGTCCTAGGAATGAGGGTTCTCATATCTAAGTGGTAGGACGGAGGGATCTACCTGTGGCCGCCATCGGATCTGCGAGATGCAGCTATTAGCCTGTCCCGGTCTGCAACGCTGGACAAGGACCTAGTACAGCCACCAAAGATGATTGTAGCTAGGGGATGCAGTGATCATCGTTCTACACTTACTGAACCTTGATG